TTGCCAGGCTCTGAAAATTTTCTTGCTCCTCCTTAATAAATAATGGAAAACTAACTTGTCTCCCTAGCTACCACATACACACTAAAATATAAAATCTAGGAGAGTAAATACTTTTTATTGTTTATTCTTGGTGTAGAAATCAGGGCCTGGCACAGATTCTCAATAAATGTTGGACAAATGAAAGAATAAAATGATTCAATGAATGATGAAACTTGGATATCATTCAGTTGTCTTGTCTTGTACAAGAACTTATGTGATACTGTCAGATAATAATCCCTCTACACAACCTTGTAAAGCAGGTGGATTGCTACTTGATCCTCTTTTGCCTCATTCTGCTGACATGTAGAAGTCCTCTGTCTTCCTCCATGTCACTTGCACCCTGGGAAAGCTCTGTACTGTGCTCTAAAAGGTGACCAGTCCCAAGACAAGAGCTATAGTAATTTATCCTGGCTCCAAATAAGTCCTGGCTGTCACATNAACTTCCTGGTAATAAAGGGAAATAATAAGAATGGGGATTGTGAACTGGTAGGTTAGCATAGTGGGTTGAAAGAAAAACCAAGCAAACAATGTCCTATTCTTGTGCCCAGTAGCCCTACGTTCCTGTTCATCTGAAATTCCAAGAACATTTGTAAGCCAAAAACTCCAAATTCACCTTTCCACTGGATATGTGAGGCATAAAAGAGGAGTAAAAACAAGAAAGGAAGATGACACTTATGTGACTTACAGAGAAGAAATTTGATCCTTTTTCCATTTGTTTCTCTAGGATCTTTATCCCCAATTTTCCTTTGACATCACACCACAAGCCAAGGTCAGGGATCTCTGCCTATCATCTGGAAAGCTTTTTTTACCTTAGCCGTCTCTGCCTATCATCTGGAAAGCTTGTTTTACCTTAGCCAAATAAACTCAAATAAACTCAGACTAAAGAATATAAAGCTAAATGTGCCTCTATCTTCTGCAAAGATGTCTTCAGAGACACTAATAGCTACATATGTAGCAATTTATATGTCCTTGGAGCCCTTGGGACTCCATTCNTGTATCTAGGTGTGGACACATTTACAGTTTTTACTATTTTAATCACTTTGAATCAAGTCTAACTTCCTGGTTATAAAGGGAAATAATAAGAATGGGGATTGTGAACTGGTAGGTTAGCATAATGGGTTGAAAGAAAAAACAAGCAAACAATGTCCTATTCTTGTGCCCAATAGCTCCACATTCCTGTTCATCCTAAATTC